AAAAGATCAAATTTGTTGTTTCATTTATACATGAACCACCTCATTTCAAACTTTGAATTAGTAACAAACTCCTACAATCCTTAATTTCGGACACCAGAATCAGTGAGTCACAGCACAAGCTCAGTCTATAAGAAACGCAAGTTTCAGTAAAATTATTTTTTCGATGGTATGCAGGGCGTCGGGGACAGACTATCACAGATTCCTTCATCGAAAATATGACGATCTAAAGTTGCTTCGTTTGGACGCTAGAGGGGTATAAAGTACATATACTAAATATTTTACATTTAATCATATGTTTCAAATTTAGAAAAAAAAAAGAATGTTAACTCAGTCCAGCAGTTAAGCTCGAAGTTAAATTAAACAAAATCCTGATTGTGTGTCAAAAACGCATAATAAAAATTTAAACGTTGACCAAAAATCTTTTAAATTATACTGCTTTCTGAGAAAAATACTTGACAGTGATAGTACAGGCGGTTACAATAATGTGATTAAAAATGTTTTGTTGTTTCGAGCCCCCTGTTCATTTGATGCGTTTTTTTTTTCCACAAAAAGGTGTAGTTTAATAAACAGAAACGATATTTTCAATATGAATAAAAATTTGCGGATTTTCGACATATTTGAATGAATGTAAAATGTTTAGCAAACTTTGGAGTCTCGAGCGCCTAACGAAGCGACTTTGGACAGAAGTAAGTTAGGTCAAGTCGTCGTATTTTTGTCGAATCTATAATAGTCCATTATACACGACTTTCCTGAACACCTGTACAGATTCTTATCAATGAAGCATTTGAACTTGAAACAGCACAATGCCTATTTTATATACAAGAAGAGTCTTAACAGTCGGATCAGCGGTTTTGTGGAGGTATAGATGACCTCAATAGCAATCATTTAAACGCAAAGTATGTTGCCCGATTTTCTATACCATTAATTTATTTGTTTTTTTTTTAAATCGGATTACCGACTTAACTTTGACTGTACGTCCAAAATTATGTGTTTACAGTGGTCATTTTTTTTCTTTAACAAGCCTAATAATTAGGCATTCGTGTCGCTTTTTTTGGAATAACTCATACGAGAACTAAATAAAAAAAAAATGTTGAATATTTTTTCAAAACAAAATTTCTTTGATTTCGAGACGCTGGGATTATTTTTTGCCCCAACTTTTTTCCTACAAGCTTTTTGTGTAGTTGTTTATTATTTTTTTTGTTTTCTAATGTACTTTCATATATTTGAGTTATTTAATTACAGATTTCTATCTTATTTTTACTTAACAAGGTAATAGAATTAAGGGGAAATGGACGGATATTGTAATCGGCCGATGGTGATGAAATCATTTTGTCAAATTTCCAACAAAAGTAGTCTACAAAAGGGATTGTTTTATAGAAAATGAAACGAGATATTAGTATTTGTTACTTAAAATGTATTCAATATATTATTGTATGATACAAATGGCGTACAGTCTACAATATTTGGTACAAAATTCACAACATACGTATAGGCAATATAAATAGTTAAAATATCAACAAATCTTATATACAATGTACAAAATATACAAATACGTAAAAAAAGTTAACAATATATCGCTAGGGAGTAACTAAGAGTGGGGTAGGGCGGCTAGGGCGGCTAGGGCAGGGGCTCCACGTAGTTCTCGGGCACGAGGCCGCTGCGGCCGTCCAGCGTGCCGCGCAGCCAGCCCGGCTCGCC